TCTCTCTCTCTCTGTCTCTCTGTGTGTGTGTGTGTGTGTGTGTGTGTGTGTGTGTCTGTCTGTCTGTCTGCTGTCTGTCTGTCTGTCTCTCTGTCCTGAAACTTGCTATGAAAAAGGAAGTCCTGATTTTGAGTCTCTGACACCATAATAGAAAAGAGACATTTTAAAGCAGCCAGGCCTGTGGCATACAGTACTATCCAAAATTTAAGCCAGCTCCAGCTATACAGTGAGTGAGGCCTTGTCCAAAAAGGAAGGGAAGAAGGAAGGGAAGTTGAATGAGGGTTTTTGGTATATCTGCAGGGCTGATGTGAAAAGAGAATGTGTGTAATACAGGTGCTGGCCACAGACTGGGTCTCTGGATCCCCTGTGAGCACAGGAGAAGGAGTTAGAAACATACCAGTAGAACACCTCTGGTTGTCATAGTAATAACCTAGGAGAATCCCTCATTTAGTGACTGAGAGCCAGCAATATGCAGAGCCTTTCATCACCCCGCACAGTACAGCTGTTCTGCTCAAATCAAACTTTCCTCATTTGAGACACTGCTATGGGAAATAAAGCTGGAGCCTGAGGATGGAGCTTCAGCAGGGTGGACCCTTCCTGAATCCTGGGGCCCTGATAAGTTCATGCACTCAAGGAGGGTGGAGGATGGAGAGTGGAGGTCCCTTCCTGAGTGCTAGGGCCAGAAGGCTTTGATTTTAGACTTTTTAAAAAGTTTACAGTATCTGCATATACATAATAAATGTTTTGGGAATGGGACTCAAATTGAAACATGAAATTTACATGTGTGTCATGTCTGTCTTAGTCACATAGCCAGAAGGTGCTTGCATAAACTGATTTTAGAGCACCTGTATCCTGACTGATTCATCACAGAAAGCCATGTGTGAGTTTCCAGCTGCTGTGTCCATTTTGGACATTGGAATGTTTCTTGCTTGTTTGTTTGTTTGTTTGTTTGTTCACTTTTTTGTTTGGAGAAGTTCAACCTGTGGTTAGAACCAAGCATAGCAATGGATTGTTTCTCAGAACAGTCCCACACCTCAGCCAGAGCATTTAGAATCCAGCTGAGTGATTTCCCCGGGAAGAAACATTTTGATCTTTCTACATTGGAAGATAGTTAGGGTGTAATAACAGCTTCCTATAACTTTTGTTTTCTCTGAATAGATTGCCTGTGCTGCCTAAACTTGCTCTCTCTTTCAGATATACACTGTAGATATCCACAGACCAGAGGACTGCTGGGACAAGTTTACCTCCAACCGCACACTAGGAATACTCTTGTTTTTAGGAATCGTCCTTGGAAATTTGTGGAAAGAAAAGAAAGAAGAAACAAAACAACCTGAAGATGTTAGAATGGAAAATTAGCAAATCAGCTGAACTTGGTGGTGCACTCAGGAAGCATAGGCAGGAGAATCGCTAGGTCAAAGCCATTCAGTGACAGTGGGACCCTGTCTTGAAGAAGCAAATGGCTTGAGTTGTAGCTCACAGGTAGAGTGCATGCTGACTCACAGTGAATTGTGCCCAAGACTCTGGGTTCCATCCAAGCAAATAAAGCCACTTATAAAGCACTCGGGGCTAGAGACCACATTGTTAGATTTGTATGAGCAATCTGCTAAGAAGCAAGAGGTACATGAGTAGAGTGTTTGTTGGACTTTTAATGCAGTTGTTACCTAGCAAAATGCCTCCCTGTCATAGCAGCTAGGGACTCCTCCATTAGGTAGGCTCCAGCTTAAATTGATGCAGCCTTGTGTCCTTGTCATTTTCATCTGAAGTTTCAGGAACTTTAGAAAAAAACATTGATGTGTAACTCATGGAAATGAATGGCTCTTATGAAAGTGACCATATGCTTTATTTCTCAGTAAGACTCCTGTGATCAGTTGGGGCACATTATTCTTTATTGTGACCTCTACACACTGCCAAAGCTGTGACTCAAGAAGCCATTCTGGTTGTGGATGTTTTAGGAGAGTATAAGCAAATAAATTGTTACCTATTGTACCCTTGTATGTGACTCACTCTCATTCCAGCCCTGACAGACATGGGCAGTCATAGTCTACATAAATGAACTCTTTCCTCCATGTTGCCCTTTTATTATGTTTCTATCGAAGCAGCCAGAAAACCTAAGTAAAGTCAAGTCGTTTCCCAGCCCACCTTTCAGTGTCCCGGTCACTCGGGACTCACTCCAGTCAGTGCCCCCATCACTCCAGGCCTCCATGATCAGATCTCCCCTCTACCCTTCAGATTCTCCCCCACAGCAGACAGGCTGCCCACCTACACCTCAGCCTGAGCAGACACCTAACCCAGGGCCTGTGCACTTACTATTCACAATGCCCAGTGAAATTTCTGCCTTTCCCTCACAGCACGTCCTTAAATACCACTCTCTAAAGAGCTTTTAATTCAACGAACTCCACCTGTGTTACTCTTCATTCTTTTTAGATTTGTTTTATGTGATGAGTGTTTTGCATGCATGCATGTGTGTTCACCATGTGTGTGCCTGGTGCCCACAGAGATCAGAATGGAGTTTAGGATGGTTATGAGCCACCTCGTGGGTGCTGGGGACTGAACCCAGGTCCTCTGCAAGAACAAGTGTTCTTCACCACCGAGCCATCTCCCCAGCCCAGTTTTGTTTGTCATAATATGTTTTTTTCTCTTTTATTTTTATTTCATATTTATGGATGTTTCGTTGGTAGGTATGTTTGTGTACCACATGTATACAGGGCCTACAGAAGGCATCAAATCAGCCTGTTTCTGGAGTCAAACAATACTAGCTGTCCTGTAGGTACTGGGAATTGAATTCAGGACCTGTGAAAGAGCTGCCAGTGCTCTTGACCGCTTAGCCATGTCTCCAGCCCCACCAGTATTTCTTCCCATCTGTGCTCTTGATTTTTTCCTTTGTATCAATTATTAGGCTGAAGTATACTTTACTGATGATGAGGTGACTTCTATATATAATGTTGAGGGCCACATTACTGCACTAAACGTGAATGACGGTAGTGACAGCACAAGCCACTGAGAAGCCTGGGGGAATACAGCCGAGACAGGAGTTCCTGCAGCACTCTGTTCAGATGTCACACGGTAGCAGCTGTACGTGGTGCACAGCAGCAAAGTGAGGCGTTAACAGGGAACAGGCATCAAGAGAAAGGTTAGAGATGACACAGCAGCTGGTCTATAGAGAGACAGCCCCAATCTGTAGCTGGGTTGCTATCTCACTGTTATCTCTCTGGGCCAATGGGGCCATCTGGGCTCAGGAGATAAGGCAATGGGAAGATAGACAAAAGAGGAGGGGTGGAATCCAGACGCCCTATGAAAGACCCGCCTGGAGCCCCTCAGTCTAAGAAACCCACCCTTTGGGTTTCTGGTCTGCTTCAGCAAACTCCCTTCTTCGTCATTGAGTCGTATCTTCCCTCCCTCCCCCCCCCCCCCCCCAGTCTTTACTTTCTTTATTCCTGGGTTTGAGTTCATTGCCTCTGGGAAGAACCTGGACACCTGGGCAGCCAGCCTCGAGGATGAGAATGTTTAATGTTTGCTTTCTACTTTTAAGATAACATTATCTCTTGCCGGGTGTTGGTAGCTGGTGGCGCACGCCTTTAATCCCAGCACCTGGGAGGCAGAGGCAGGCGGATCTCTGTGAGTTCGAGACCAGCCTGGTCTCCAGAGCGAGTGCCAGGATAGGCTCCAAAGCTACACAGAGAAATCCTGTCTCAAAAAAAAAAAAAAAAAAAAAAAAGATAACATTATCTCTTCAGAGTTTATCTAGTTCTGACTGCATTGAAATACAATTTAAATGTTTGTTGATTTCTGTTTCCAGACAATGACAAAAAGCCTTAAGTTTTGAAATTAGCACTGGCGGAATTCAGTCAGAAGGCAGAATGCTCTGAATTTCAGTTGTTTCTCATTTTCCTATGTGAGCAGATGAAAGTTACAGGGTAACAAACCTTAATGAAAATCTCAGCATTCGTGATAAACAGGATGGTTGAGTCATAAATTCTCTCATTCATAAGGTTGTTTTAGGCTTTTCCATTTCTTCTTCCTGTATCAAGGCTGAAGATGTTGTGTAGATGGATAAAGGGAACAAAGATGGAGTAGATCATAAGCTCCAAAAATGACAGTCAACCAAGTTCAAGCCAAGGAGTAGTAGCCCAGCAGCCATCCAAGGCCTGTCCCAGACTACCCTGTCCCAGCCCCGGGTGAGGGTGCTTGCTGATGTGATAGGTTAGGGGCTGCTCTGATCTTGAGAAATGTGCTAGATGGAGACCCTTATCCCAGTCCACTTCTGAGCCTGTGGATAGAGCAGAAATAGGTAAAAGAGCCTTATAGCCCAGACTGATAGGATGAAAGTAAGACAGGAATCACAGCGTCCAGAAATTGCATTCCAGTGCCACCTCTCCCTCTTCCTGGCACCTTTGCAAAGCATTCAATGTCTCCACCAAACTGTAAAGGGCTTCACCATCAGGCTGTACCTTGCCCTTTCCCAACTCAACTCCACCCTACACACACACACACACAGGCACACACACACACCCTCTTGGCTCAGTCTGTTTGTGCTCCTTGGGTCATACTTAGCTATCCTATGTTAGCAGCATTGCCAGCAGAGAAGATGCAGAGGGCCCAGCCATAGGCAGGTGAGCCAAGGGAACCCTTGGAACGCTCCTTAGATACCATGTTGTCATCTGCAATAGCTGCCAACATTTAGCTGAGCTGGCTTATGCCTGAGCCTGCTATGGGCAGTCTTAGCCCTACCACATCGTATACTGAACTCCTAACCCTGAATATCTCATGTGGCTGCACTTGCAGAGTAGGACTCTGAGGAAATGACTAACTTAAAACGAGATTCTAGATGAGCCACTGGCCTGGTAAGTAGAGAAAATGGAAATACGAGACAAGTGTGAGCTGGGTGTGGTGGCACACACCTGCAATCCCAGCTTTGACAGATGGAGGACTGTGTTCCAGGTCAGCCTGAGCTACAAAACCAGATCATTTCAAAGAGAAGACCTGGAGGAGTAATTGCAGAGACAGACTCTGCAGAGAGCAAAAGGGTGGCTAGCAGGGAGGCCTCGTGGCCTCACTTCCAGCATCCAGAATCCTGAGAAAGTTTGTTTTCTTGCTTGAGGAGTTCCGGGAAGCACTGAACCTGTCATGGTGAGGTCACACTTCATAAGCTCTGTTACCCTCTGCACCCGCGTCCTGTCTCTCAGCTCAGGTCCTGGCCCTTCTTGTGTCTGTTACTGTCATGGGATGAAAAAAAAAAAAAAAAACCCAGAACTTACTAATGTTACCATATAGGGTTAAGGCACTGTGAGCATGCCTGAGCTAAGAGCCTGGAGACAGGAAAATAACCCTGTGGTGTCTAGAATATGGAGCAATCACAGGGTTTTAGGAGATAGCAGGGGATCAAAGGAAATAGTAGTAAGAGATTCGATCACAGAAAGTAAGGGTTGCAGTGATGGAAGGGAAGGGTCATGTGCCAAGGAACGCAAGTGGCCTTTCTTAAACTAAAAAAGCCCAGGATGAGGGCTCATGTCTCGGCATGCAGAGGGGCCCAGACCTGCTGACACCATGACTTCAGCCCAGTGAAGCAGATTTGTGGCTTGTGATTTCCAGAACTATAAGCACATACATTTGAGTTAAGCCACTAGATGTATAAGAATTTGTTACGTACAAAATGAACAGACAGTTCCAACTCTCATAGCCTAGCTTCTGGATTCCCTGGGAACCTGGTCCATAGCACTAAAACAGCACCAGGAACTATGTCCTAGCCTTAGCCATAGCAGCCTGGTTTGGGATCACTGCCTTAAACCTCTCTGAGGTCTGTGTGTTCAAATACATTTCTTGTGAGTTGAGAACGTTTTTGTCTCCCCTGTTGGAAAGGCAAACTCGGAGCCCCGTGTCCACCCCTGAGATGTCCCTAGCACACCACACCGAAAACACGTGACTACTTGCTGTTCCTTGTGATGGGTGAGCTAACTTTTGAGAGCTCCATTAGGTGCAGCCAGTAGGCATTGTTAAGGTCCTTCATTAACCTCACAGGGTGAGGGGTCACAGTAAAAATGCTTCTATTTCGTCTGCACATGAACAAAGCTACGTAAAACATGTAATGAATACTAATGAAAAATAAGAGAAAGTTTCTGGGTCATGCAGCTTGTTGCATTATGCTTTGCCTCGTAACAAAAACTGGAGAGCCATCAATTCTAGTTTCTTGTGTGAAACTAACCTGTAAGTGGAACCCCTCATTAGTCAGTGTAATCTGTACCTTTCCATCTCTGCCTTTAAAAACAGACCTCCAGGCCAGCCCGGATGGAACACACCTCCAATCTCAGCAGTCAGGAAGAAAAGGCAGGCCTCTGTATACCTAGCTGTCATTTTCAAGGCTTACAGAGTCCAGAGACGATTGGGTGTGGTACTGTGAACATTTTTATGGCTCAGGAAACATTTTCTCAAGTTGTCCTCCAGAAAGATCTGCATTTCCATCTGAAGTGCACAAGGCCTCATTCCTAACTGTAGTCAATGTGGAGATAAATTCATTTGTTCCTTAACAGCAACCACAGAGGAATAAGTTGTTTCTTTTACAACCTGTGACCACCAGTGGCACTTAATATTTTGCAATGTGTTAACAGGAGATTTATGTTCCTTCCTTATGGTTTGTCGTCGGGGTGCCTTTGCCTGTTGGGTGACAGTCATTGTGGGTGCATGCTGCCTTGTTGAATAGTGAGTACCTAGGATCTGACATCAGATGGAATTGTGTTCTCATTTGCCCATCATTTTATTGGTATTGGGAGGAGTTTGTTCTTATACAGAACTGTCTCTTCCGTGGAAAGGGGGAGATGTTTAACATCTGTAGATGACCTCATCAATGTGTCCTGGTTAGTCACCAAATGCTTGAAACATCACCATGTGGGAGACCCAAGCTGCTTGCTGGGACACAGAGGAGCCAGGCAGCTCCCATCTTCCAGAAGCCCACAGTGTAGTAGACAGCACCATGCCATCCAATGTGGCAGCTCAGAAGA